AATTTTTTCTTAACCTAAAAGTTGGTACATCTTTTCCGCAATGGCTTTCCTATCCGGAGCGGTTTTCGTGACAGAAGTTGTTTACCGCATCGAAAATAAATTATTAAATTATGCTAAATAACAGAAATATTAAATATAATTTTTAATGGGTACAGGTAATATGTTCGTAAAAGCATTAGTTTATATTTTTAAGTAGATTCTACTTTTGGTACATTTGGTAGGAAAAACTAAACTGAACGTAATAAAACAGTAATTTCTGAATAAACTTTGTTTTATTTAGCCAGTGTTTTTGGAATAGACGCACCCTGATTTCCAAAAAATTTTGATGTGAAATTGTTAATTTTGTATAAAAAAAGTTTGTTTTATGCAAACATTTATCAGAAAATAATATAACTTTGAGTGATTCCGATACGAAATAGTTAATAATAATTGCATGTATTTACTTACAAGCTGCGTGCAAGAAACATTAGATTTTTCTATGCTAATTCCAGATTTTATTTTATATAAAATAATGGATATATATATTTCATGTGGAAGACTGATGAAAAAATTGTCTAACAATGTGTTGAATTTATTCATCCAAATATGCCGAAGGAATTTATAAATTGAAAGAAGTTACAACGTTCGTGTTAAGAGGCACTTGTGGATAAGTAAAAGATATATTTCCGTATTCAAGAAATTTTAAATGCGTTCAGTCTAAATGGCGAAGCATTTTTTAGAATGTCAAATAAAATTAGAATAACAAGTAGCAAGAAACGCTAACTTCGTGCATTTAAATAGTTGGCATTTTACTAACACACGTGAATGTGTTTTTGAAGCAATAAACTGAGCGAAATAAAAACAAAGACATTTTACTTCGCGGGGCGGTTGCAATTTAAAACGGATTTTACTGCCGGTGTAAAAGGAAAAGTTCCACTTAAGTTGCGGTATGTTTTTGGCCATCCGAATGTCTTTAAAAGCATAGAAAATAATAGCTTGGAATGTTCTTAGAACATAGAGAATACGTTTTATGTGTGTAGCTTTTCCCGAGTACCGAGTATTGTTTCCCTTGAATTTGAACTGGAAAATGTGTTTTAATTGATATATAAACATTTATACAAGTTACATTATTTAAATTATTAATACCATAGGCTGGTAGGTTTTATCTGAAAACGTCTTATCGTCGCTTATTTTGATCACGAGATAACATATTGCCTGAAATTGCGACACAAGATAAAAACGCTATGGAAAAATTAGAAATTATATGTATTTTTTTCATAAAATGTTATAGATACTTCTCTAAATTCAAAATAGCGTATATATCTCGTCAACTAACCAAAACGATCTCAACTAACCAATGATGATTGAGAAGTGGAGAGGAGAGTTACTTAAAAATTTGCGTTTTAATTTACCTTAGGTTCTTGGAAGGGACTCCTTTAGACTTTAATTCGGTTTTATGCCTGTTTTACATCCAGGACCAAGATGCTAAATAAACATAAAAATTAATAACTTATAACCAACAAATAATTCACTGAAAATGTTTATATATGATTTGTCAAATTTGAAACACCTTGGAACCTTGGAACACAAATATACATCAAAAAGTGAAACCAACGGATTTATGATTTTTACAGATTCATCCAATGACTACAGTAAATACCAATTTTTCAGCTATGACGTTATCGCAAACAAAGAAATAAACTTCAGAGAATACCCCTAAATTTCACACACTAATTCTAACTTTTTCACTCAACAACAAAGTCTTATTGTACAAAAGTGAGATTTAAAATGAGGGATCCTATTGGTTGAGAGGAAAGACGTTATATCCAAAGGAGATACGACAATTCGTTCATAAAATGGATCGAAACCGGCAGCCAACATAAAAATTTATGCATGATTTAGTTCCCATGTTTGTGGTTATAGAACGAATTTTCCATGATTTCCATGAATCTGGTTTTGGACGTCTTCACAGCACTAGTTCTGCTTTGCCTTATGTTACTGATGATTTATTGAGAGCAGCTGACTCTAAATGAAACTCTTGCCTTATACTCTTGGACTATAGCAAAGCGTTCGACACCTTGGATCATTTCCCTCTCTTAGCTAAAAAGAAATACCTCGGGATAATTAAAAAAATAAAAATTTACTTTGTCAGAGATACCAAGGAGTAGTTATAGGAAATACTCATTCATGCTGTTGCTTTGGAGAGGGGAGTTCCACGGAGGAGTATACTGAGACCAATTCTGTTCTCAGTTTAGACAGCTGACTCCTCTACTTTTCTTAAATTTTGTAAATCTCATCAATACGCCGATGGTATTTAGTTATCTTTTGTTGCTAGTGAAGCTATTGAAGAATTTGGAGTGAATTATTTCGGATGTGTTTGCGGCTCATAACCTCCTATGGAATACTAACAAAATGCAGATGTTATTATTTGGAAATAAAAGAGAAGAAATTGAAAGAAAAGCCTCTTTTAAGATTACACTAAATCATGAGATTATCTCTCCTTCTTCGGGCGGGTGTAAAATATTCATAAACATCTTCTCAGTAAAAAAGTAAAACTTAACTCTGTGATGTAATTTTTATCCCATATCGCTCATTACACTATCGTCTAATGGCCAGCTATACTAAATTGAGATAAGAAGAGACTCCAACTACTTCAGAATGCTTGTATTCGTTAGTTATAATCTTCGAAAGTATGACCATATTTCCCAGTGCCTCTCTGATCTTTTAGCTATAACGCAGTTAAAATATTTAATGAAATAACTTATGCTTCCTCACAATAAAGTCCTTCAAAAAACCGTTAACATTGTTTATTAGGCCGCCAGTATCTAGCAAAAGGGTATAAGTTTATGATGTGCGCCTATTTCTTGTACTTACCATGTAGATACCTACATACGGGTGTGTATTTTGTTGACAATCATGGTATTGGTGCTGTTATTCTTGTGGTTTACTTGGAAGAGCGCAAGTTGCGAATGTCGCCACTCTTGTATTATAGCCTATATATTTTTAATAGACAGGTTATTATTATTATTAAACGTCAAAACTTTCATTTTTTGCAGTGTGATGTCAGCTTACTAATGAACCAAAGTATGTAAAAGAATGAAAGTAAAACAAAAGTTAAAACGATCGTTATTCCACACACTAAAGGGTGCAAAAATCATTTGAAATGATTGTTTATCTTATATTTAGAGGTAAAATCGCAAGAATCGCAAAATACCCAGCAACAAACAATCAAGTTCACTATTCAAATTTGACTTATCAAAAATCTCAAGACATACATCAGAGGAGTCTGATAGGTCAAAATTTTTATGCATTGTAATAAAATTCATCATTCATCAAAATTGTCTGAATATCACCATTTCATCGCCAAAACAGTAATGTTACTGGATTTTGAATGATATTCTCTACTAGAACCTTCGTTTAGATTGGCTCTTAGCTTCTAAACTTAATTGTCTGTTCATTTGGTCCGCATTATGATTATTTTTATATTGACCAATGGAAAAAAAAAAGATTCAAGATGTGGATTTTAAAATTTTTTCAAACACTGTCTGAACCTGATTAAATTTTCGTTGGGATTTTGATTAAGAATGATTGCATTATAAGAATACAATTATAAATAAAAATTGTCGCAGGAATATAATATTGTCAAGTCGGGTGGCGTGAAAAACCATCCAAGTAAATAAACTCGCAAATGCTTTTAAAAAGTGGATATTTAATACGTATCGAAACAGGCTTCGCAGCACATTTATTACGTTTTCTTGGCAAAATATATATAGCAACGAACAAAAAAAAAGACGTTTCGGTGCTTAAATAAAAACCCCGTCTCCCTGACTCTTTATGATTTCCTTTGCTTTCCTACTTTCTGCCGCCATTACTTTGTTTTTTTTTTCTCAGGGCATTTTAAGACACGTTGGGCTCCGTTTTATCACCGGGAAGGAGTTTAAGCCGTTTTCCTTTTAGAAGCCTGCGAGGTTATAACGTTTTATAATCGTCTAACCCTGCGGCTGTTCATGTCACGTCGCATGCTTGTCTCTTAGAAATCCTTTAGTCAGTTCAACCAACCAACCCAATTATTAGGTATGACTAATATTGCATACTAATATATTTCATGTGATAATAGAGACCTACTGAGATAAAGTTCCAAGATACTAAGCAGTTGGTCAGTTTTAGTCAGTCAATTTTTGTTAGAATATAAACGTTCATGAAAAATTTGAGGTTAGTATATAGAAGACAAGTACCAGACGAACCAGACTAATTAGTTATTGAAAAGTAAGCAGAAACACTAGACAAAAGAATTGAAAAATTCGCTGTTTACTGAATATGCAGTATATGTCGACAATGAAGGAATGTCCAAACCTTATATTGCTTGGATGTCTAGCTTTTACAAGGGACCTATGAGCTATGAGCTATAATTAATGAACAATAGAGATAAATGTTATTGAAATTTGGGAAATGCAATAGAACGACATGAACAGCAGGTAATTAAAGTCGATGTCGCGAGTCGTTTCGCAACCACAGAATAAAAATGAATCGCGGCAGGCAGGTTATCCAGCTTTAAATAAAACAATTTTTTTTTAAGAAATATTATTTTGCTCCAAATTTTTGTAAAATTATAGCCGGAATAATAAGAAAAAATAATTCTAAAAGTGGCTCTATCGTTTAGAAGTCTACTATGAATGTTGGCTAACTGCAAGTTGTCAACGCAATGCAAATAAAATTAGAATTCGACCAGACACTTGAGCGTGTCAATAAAAATGCGCATGCTCAAAGGAAAAATTGCAGCGACTTTATGTAATGTTGCCAAGTCTTACCATTAAGATCGTTGGAAAAATCATACCTTGGTTAAGGATTATTTTTAAATAAGGATTTAGTTTTAGACTATTGGTAAGAAATTACATATCCATGATCGTCGAAATTCGGCACAAAAACAAATTTATTTCTATGTTTAAGAAATAAACACTGATTAAAAATATAATTCTGCTTATTGCCGTTTTATTGTGATGAACAATGAATTAATGACTTACCCTTGCTAGCGCCCGTCGCTTTGTCTCTGAGTACGTTGATGGAATGCACTCGTCCGTACTTTTCGAACATGGTTCGCAGATCGTTTTCGTCCATCGATCGCGGTACTTGCCCGACGAACATCTTGATGGTGTCCGGATCGGGTTGTTCCTGCTGTTCCTGCAGCTTGGAGTTGGCTCGCGACTCGAGGATGTTGTTATTGTTGTTACTATTGTTATTGTTATTCGTTTGAGTGGTGTTGTTGTTGTTCATCGCTATTGAGCTGAAACCAAAGGACAAAATTGCAATGCTTAACTTTTTGGAGGATGAAAATATACGGGATGTCCCATTTTCAGTAATTTCCAGCGGTTTCTCTTTTATTTTTAACAAACTATACTACTTTTTTGAGAAACTAAATATGTCGTAAACAAAATTTTCAGCGCCTTAGTTTTTGGGATGGACGGTGGGTCATTGAAAAGTTAAAATTACGTAGTTCAGTTATTTATGAACGTATTGAAAATAATCTTATAGAATTTCTCCCATAGAAGTAGAATAGATTCTTTAAAAATATTTACCGCTGCTGAGTTGTGAACCAAACTTTTCTTCCTCTGAACTTTCGAAAAATTTGTAATAGCATGCACTTTTTCGCGGATACACACAAATAAATTTGCACTTCCAGAATTAACTATAATAAACAATCCCACCCTTATAAAATCAATGAAATATTAATTTTTCAAGGAAACTTCTACAGGCTACTGTAAGACTATTTGCATTCCTACATTTACATTAGTCTTGCGTCGGTTGTTGTTGAGTAGAAATTGCTAACGTTTCGCCAATCTTCCTGTTGGCTTCTTCAGAGCTTAACTGAAACCAGTTTCAGCGAAACGTTAGTAAGTTCGACTCAACAACAATCGATGTAAAAGGAATGTAAATAGTATGCCTGTAATTTTATTATTATTATTATTAATTCATTTACATTTCTTATCTGCGAAAGGGGCCAGTACTCTTGAGTATGCACGTACATTTGTTTAAACTATTATATTTTCCTTTTTTGAAATTTTATGTAATTTTATTTAGTGTAATTTTTTCCGTGTTGCTGATTGTATACATATTTTCTGTTGTTAGTTGTTTTGGTTATTGTTGAAAGTTGAAAGACCGAGAAACTGCAACGAAGGCTGTACTTTTTAATTTATGCATTAGTACTTTCTCCCATTATTTTGTTTTTTTCTTTTGTTTTCCCTTTTTTGCTTTTTTTTTTCGCACGTGACCCAAATTATTTGTGGATTGCGTTGTTGCCCATCAGCAGCACGTACCTATCTCATCCTACCCTTGACTCACGGATTGTACATTCGTAGCACATTGGACCATTTCGCATGCTTGTAATCACCACTTTATCAGTATGATAATATTAAGCCTCAGCCGCATTCGATATTTACGAGGCGCACCTAAATCGAATAAAGAAAATATGGGAATTTGCAATGTAAATTGAATAGTGGAATATGTTGCACTCGGATACAGCGCCAGTATATGTATATAGAAACAATGACGAAATTCAATTAGGGAATGGCGGAATTAGTGCGGTGCAGTAAGTAATTATTTTATGTTACGTGGAAGATATCGTTATTGCTTCCTCCAAGAAGCGTCTACGACATTTCCGAGCGTATTTGAATAATAGATATTCGCAACATTTGCGTTTAGCTTCCTGACGAATCGTTAATTATGAAACGCATTTTTGTTAAAGGATGCGTACATTATTTTATAGTCAATAAAATTAATATTACTTAAGTAGTCATAACTTAATCTTTATAAATAATAGGCAGGAAACTTAAAGGAACTTTGAACGGCATTATTATTATTATTGTTACCCAACTATGGACAAAAAATAAAGACAATGGTAGTTCAAAATAGTAAGCTATGTTTGACCGTGTTTTGGAAAAATTATATTATTTATTAATTGAATAAAAAATATTTATTAATTCTATTCATTAAAAAAATATTACATTATAGGCATTTCTAAAATATTTTACATTAATGGGGCTCTACAAAAGAATAAGAAAAAAAATGTTGAATCAGTTACCATGTTATCTATTGTTAATTTAACATTTAATTTGAAATTAAATAATTAAACAAACCGTAACTAAACATTAACGTAAGTACGATTTGTGGAAAATAGTTTTTAGCAACGGAACTGCATTTAAATATATGCTGCTCACTTTGCCCTTTTTTAACAAGTAGTGTTGGTAAGTTTTGGTTACTTTTCAAAGCTAAAGCTAAAAAATATTTTCAATTTTTCCTCCGTCACTATGTATTTTGTACTTTAGTATTGTATTTTAGGTTACTTTATAGCTGATAAAAATCCGTCCGGCAGCTTTTTATGAGAAAAACCTAAATCCACTTTTACAACTGATAAATTTCAGGAAAAGATAACATAAACAGTTCAAGGCTACCCCAATTTGATGTTTGGGATTGAACTTATCAAACAATATCAAAAAACCTGTTGCAACTGTATTCGTATTCAGAACAGCTTTGTGTTAGCAAGAATAGTAAAATTTGTAAATATGGATAAAATTTGCAAAGCAATTGCTCTATCAGCTGGCAAGTTTTGTAAAGCAATGCACAAAATTTTTTCGCTTTCGCTTATTATTTATCGCTAATTTTTGCTCAATATTTTTTATTTTTTAAATAATAAAATAAAATCTATTTAAAAACAAAAACATTTTCACTAGCGAGTAAAATGAATATATACACATCCCGTCCGATGCTGGTTTGCAAAAACGTATCGTTAAAAAATTTAATTAAATCGCAACAAAAAAAGGTTTTAGTTCACGGCAGCGTAGGTATCAAATGTTACTTTCGAAATTTTAATGAAACAGCAGCGGCCCCTTTTCGTAGCACTCGAGGAAACTTTATATTTTTAAATGTTTCATTTCATAAAATGAACTCATTCCTAAATGAAAGATATTTTTATTTTCTCTATACCATTGTCGACGCTATACAAAGGAACAAACTCAACTGGAAATGTAACGACGCAGTCAGATGATATCCTTGAAAGCATTGGAAGCATTCAGGAATATCCTGTTTTCGCCAAGAAATAGAGTCCAGCAAAATTAATTGCTCAATGGCGAAACTCTCAGATTTTGTACAACCTTCTAATCGACATCGACATTCGACATCAACTTAGAATATCGGTATAATACAAAATATTATGCAACAAGTGCGGTAAACGGCATTTAATTCACGAGTGATTTAAAATGTGTACCGAACTTGTTGCATACTATACTTTTTCTACGACCATTAGATTTGGGATATATTTTCGAAAAACAACACGAATGCATTCACTGACATGACCGTCAAAATTCAAGGCGTGGGAAATATCTCCCAAATCCGTACGGTAAAATCCCGGAAATACCCGAAATGCCTCGAATCCGTGGGAAACGAAACTGACGTGGTAAAGTGACGCTTCCCGCACGCTAAATCGGTGTGTAATTAGGCATTTTAAGTTTCGTGAGTCAATGTCGTTTATCGCACTTGTGGCATAATATACTATTTTTTATAGTATAGTTATCTTTTGTGATAACTCATGAATTGTAATATGTAGTTGATATCTTTACCATTGTAATATTTATGGCAACGAAACCTCATACAAGAGGCAAATTATTTTTTATAAAAATTGAGGATATCCAAATCACCAATGCACATAGTAGTAGAAAAAAGTTAATTATCACAAAAAAGCTAAAAATTGACATTCTGATTATTGAAAACTAAATCCAAAATCCAAAAATCTTTCAATTTTAAAGTTAAGAATACTTAACATTTGTGGTGACCCTTGTAGTCTACTAACATAGTTAGATAAACTTGGACGCCAGAGTAAAGAAGTTCTATTATTAAAAAAGGTATGTAAGTTATAAGGTTAATAATATTTTATAATGTTTATGCATATGAGTGGGTTCTGAGTCATTACCTAACCATCTGATTGATGGCATGAATTTTTTTGTTAATTTTTCGAATTGAGTATCTCACGCAACTCCGCCAACGTTAAGTGAAATAGTGTACCGAGACACCGTAAATATTATGATAATAAACTAAGCACAAAACTATTAATGCGAGTCGGGTTGAAAGGTTCTGCATCAATATTGTCCTACGGATTTCCCGGCAAAGTCTAATGGGTTTCGAGTGAAGGCAGTTTACAGAACTGAAAGTTTTAATGCGAAGTTTGTGCAAGTTACCCGTTGATTTATTTCCGATATTAAATAGCGCGACAAAGTTGGCAAATGAGCAAAAAGGCTCCGCTTTTGTATCTCACCCATTTGCAAATCGATCGAAATGAAGTGAAGGTTTCGCATAGTTGTAAACAATAAATTCTCGCTCTTCAGAACTGAAAATGACGAAAAACAAGTGCATTGTTAATGTTTAAACAAAAAGTTTTCTTATGCTTTCAGAAGTTTTCCGGCTTAGGTCGTACGGAATAAATTATTCCTTGGGGTGGGAGCTTCGTTTTTGACATCATGGTTTATTTCTTTTATAAACATTATTTAAAGTAATAATTTTGAGGTAATTTTGAACTATTTGAATCTATCCACGTTTATAATAAATAAGTGTATTGATTGAAATTATCGTAACTCATAAAAAAAAGGAATCACCAATTATTTAAAAAAATTGCTATTTTAAAATTAGGTGCTTCATTATTATTAATTACAGATTCATACAAACATTTTGTAGCTCTTCAAAAGATTAAAGAGACATGTACCTAAGTCAATTATATTCAGCAGAAACAAAATTTAAATGAAATTATAGAATTAGAATTACTATTAATTACTTTTTAAAAAGTCAAAGAAACAAAAAAACAACAATACTACACATATAACACACAGCTAATAATGTATAAAGACGGGTAAACAACAGCAAATTGAAAATGTTTATTCCCATTGAGTCAGGAGACTTCTATCGAGTGTCTAGAGTGTCTAGGGGGCTCTAAAATTGCGGCGATTGCGGGTAGGTATTATGAATACTTGTTTCTAAAAATATGAATGAAATATGAAGTTCAAAAATAGGAATGCCGGCCAAAGTCAAGATTTGTCTACTTTTAAAGTGAGATCTACATGGCTGATTCTCTTTCAAGCCGAGGAGACTCCTGAGGGCCCTCTTCTGGCTTTTGAAGACACCGACTGCTGCAGAGGAAGACCCCCAGAAGCAAACGCCGCACCTCGGAATAGATGCTATTTTAGCACGATACTTATTAATAAATTCCTTTTTCATGATGAGTTGATTTTTGAAGACAAATGA